ACGGGGCTCGAACCCCCGAACTGTGAGATCATGACCTGAGCTGAAGTTGGACGCTCAACTGACTGAGCCACCCAGGCACCCCTTGGTGCTCTTAATTGAGAGAGAAAGCAATAAACTCCTAGAGTTGGAAAGAAAATGTAGAGATTGTGTAGTCAGGCTATTTTCAGCCTTTTTTTTTTTTTTCTTATGGTTGAAGTTTACCTGGCATATGTTAGATATGTTACTGTTATAATATTGTTATGACAAATAAATATAGGTTATGTGTAATTTCTAGGATGCTTGCTGTAATTCTGTCTTTTAAAAATTTCACTGAAGAATGTTGTAATACAGGTGAATTGACTTTATTGTAATGTTTACCAGAAACCTGCTTTCAGTTAATTAAAGTGGTTGCAAACTTGAGTACTTTATTTAAATTTCAAGTAGTTTGTAATACAGTCCTCACAACTGATAGGTATATTTGTGTGTTGGTGGGATCATGTTGAAAGTTTTTGACCTGGTCTGGTGGTTCTCAAACTTTCATGTGCTTCAGAATCACTTGGAGGACTTGCTAAAACACAGATTGCTGGTCCCCTCTGTCAGAATTTCTGATTTAGTAGATCTGAAGTGAAGCCTAAGATTTTGCATATTTAGCAGGCTCACAGGTCATGCTGGTGCTGTTGGTATGGGGACCACAGTTTGAGAGTTACTGTGTTAGGCCAGCTTTCACTTTACTTTTTCAGTATTTCTGGTGGCACAGTCCATTCCTTTTTAAGGTGGCCTGTTGACTGTTAGACAGCTCTTCCTACTACTACTTCTTTTTTTTAAGTTTATTTATTGATTTTTGAGAGAGCGAGAGAGAGAGAAATTGAGAGCGGGAAAGAGGCAGAAAGTGAAAGAGAGAATCCCAAGCAGGCTCTGTGCTGTTAGCTCAGAGCCGGGTGCAGGGCTTGAACTCACAAAATGAGATCATGACCTGAGCCGAAATCAAGAGTCGACACTTAACCAACTGAGCCACCCAGGTGCCCCTAGACAGGTCTTCCTTCTAACTAAAACTATTTTATCTGTTATTTGCATCCATTAGTTCTCATTCTGTCCTTAGAAGTTAGAAGTTTCCCGTAATAGAGGTAATAGCCCTCATGTAGTTACTCATGTCTCCTTTGTTTTTTTCTTTCAAGTTAAACGTTTATAGTTCCCCTAATAGTTACTGGGAAAGAACTATAATTTGTAGTTAATGCTAATATTTACTATTGTCATAGCAGCATTTTATTTGTAAACCTGTTTCTCCTCTCCTTCTGTATTCCCTGTCTTGGTAAGCTTACTAACCAAGCCAGGAACCTGTAAATCATCTTAGACTCTTTCCCCTCCTTAACTCCCTATTTTGCCTAAGAATCATTTGATTGTAGAAACTATAGAAACTTAATCTAGTTTAAGCTGAAAGGAAGAGTTTAAGGGGTACAGTGATACCCAATTGAACATGAAAACCTGTAGCTTGGAATGATCACATAAGTGACTAGAATGGAAACTAGAAAACTATGAAGTTAGTGTGGAAATTAGTAAGGAAGTTTTACCTTCTGTACCCTTCTTTTTCTCTTGGATTATGTGTGATTTTGTATTATTTGCTTCATTCTGTCCTGTCCCTTAATGACTTTTGTGTAAATTCAGTTTTAAAAAGTCCAGTCTAGTTGATTCCATTCATATTAAGTTTTCCTATTTATTTTTTAAAAGTTTATTTATTTTTGAGAGAGAGAGTGAGCAGGGGACAGGCAGAGGGAGAGGTAGAGTGAGAATCCCCAAGCAGGCTTTGTATTGTCAGCACAGAGCCTGAGGCAGGGCTTGATCCTCCAAACTGTGAGATTATGACCTAAGCTGAAATCCAGAGTCAGATGGTTAAATGACTGAGTCACCCAGGTGCCCCAGGTTTTTCATGTTATATAATCTATTCTGTTGGAAGCCTGGGTAGTGCTTAGAAGGGAACACAGGGGGCTTTCTGGGTTGCTTGGTTATGTCTTTAAAAAATATATATATATCTTGATGCTGGTTACATGGGTATGGTTAACTTGTGAAAATTCATTGAGTTATATGCTTGGATATGTGTACTTTTCTGAAATGACTAATATACTTCAGTAAAAAAAAAAAAAGACCTACTAATTTAAAAGTTAAATTTCAGGGGCTCCTGGCTCACTCAGTTGGTGGAACATGTGACTCTTGATCTTGGGGTTCTGAGTTTGAGCTCCACATTGGGTGTAGAGATTACTTAAAAATCATTAAAAAATTAAATTTCATATTTTATATTTTCTTTTCTTTGCAAGGTTTTGACAGGTGAGACTTGGAATAAGAAGGATGTGATTTGCTTTTATTTTTCTTTTCTGTTTTCTGGCTCCCCCACCCCCCACCCCTTTGGTATATTATGATAGGGAATAGGGAGATTGAAAAGGCTAGGACTTTCTCTTAATTGGTGCTGCTCTAGTCCTGTATTGGTTGTTGTTCCTTTTCTGGCTAAGACGAATTGCTCATACAGTGCAGCAAGCAGCCTAGTGCTGGCTTCCTGATGTAGTTGACTTGTAAGTTATTTTGGGGATGAGTCCTTTCCCTCTCCCTGTTGTCTTCATGTAGGATATTATTTCAGCTTGATATCTTCCAATGATTCCTTAGTCCACCTAAAGCTGCTTACTTGGTGTGTTGCTCTGTGAGTGGCTGGCCTCTTTTGCTTGGTTACCAGCATTAGTGCCCAAACCCTGCTTCCTTCCATGTTTTCTCCTTGGTTCATAGGTAGTTTCATCCTTAACACACCAGATGGTGGGAATTTAGAGTGGTATCTTGCTGTCTTGTCTTTTTGCATTAGCTACTACTTCCAATTTCTTTCTCCCTGCTCACTTCTGTTATAGTTATCTTGATACACCATTTGCTTTAATGATATAGTGCCCAAATATCCCCCTTTATCATTTTATCCATTTACTACCAATTAAAACTACTGTTTCCTTGTTTCTTCTGTTCTTTTTATTTAAATTTACTCTTTTTATGCTTGGGCATTTGTAAATTATACTCTGGATAGCCACTACCAACTGGTATTAGTGTGTTTTTGAACATGTTTGTGAACCCACCAATCACAGTGTATGACCTTTTATAGGTTTTTGTTTTTCTAAAATCTTAAGGAGGTTGGCATTTTCCCATTCCCTCCTGTGGCTTTTACTAGTTGTTTGAGTCTTGTTCTTCAGATGGCAGGTAACATAGAGTTATTTTTTTTTAATTTTTTAAATGTTTTATTTCTTTTTTATTTTTTTAAAAATTTTTTTTAATGTTTTATTTATTTCTAGGAGAGAGAGAGAGAGACAGCGTGAGCAGGGCAGGGTCAGAGAGAGAGGGAGTCACAGACCGAAACAGGCTCCAGGCTCTGAGCTGGCAGTCAGCACAGAGCCCGACGCGGGGCTCGAACCCACGAACAGCGAGATCATGACCCAAGTGAAAGTCGGACGCTTAACCGACTAAGACACCCAGGCGCCCCTAAATGTTTTATTTATTTCTAAGAGAGAGAGAGAGAGAGAGAGAGTGAGCAGGGGAGGGTCGGAGAGAGAGGGAGTCACAGACTCTGAAACAGGCTCCAGGCTCCGAGCTGGCAGTCAGCACAGAGCCCGATGCGGGGCTCGAACCCACGAACCACGAGATCATGACCTAAGCGAAAGTCGGACGCTTAACTGACTAAGCCACCCAGGCGCCCCCATAGAGTTATTTTTTTATGTTTCTCATTTTGTCTTTTTCCTGTCCATATGACTTTGATGTGCTATTTATCTGTATTTGTTTTAGTTTCCTTCATTAAAATATGAAAGATATGGCTCATTTGCCTTATTTAAAAAAAAGTTTCTCTTTCAATCCTGCCAGTTAGGTGGATGTTTGCTTCAAAATGTCTGAATCTTGATGAGATGTTGGACATTGCTCACTGAGTAAAGAGGAATAGGCATTGGGCTGGAGTAGGATGAGCTGACTAAAGACAAATGGGAGGCTCTGTCAGCGTTTCATATTGTCTGTAGTTTCTCTGTGGTACTTCTTAAAAATTTTTTTCAGAGTGTGAGCTGGGGAGGGGGTAGGGGTAGGGAAAGGGGGGAGAGAGAGAGAGAGACAGAGAGAGAGAGAGAGAGAGAGAGAGAGAGAGAGAGAGAGAATATTCCAAACCGGTTTCATGCCCATGGGAGCTTGACATGGGCTCTATCCCACGACCCTGGGATCATGACCTGAGCCAAAATCAAGAGATGGATGAGCAGCTGCCTGACCACCCAGGTGCCTCTCTCCATAGTACTATTATGGTTTTTCATTTAAACATGTATTTAGCTCTTATTTGACCTATAAAGAAAGCTCTGATTTTATTTATGCGTTAATTGAATATTAGAGGCATTTCTAACCTTGTATATTAGGTAAAGGAAGGTCTGCTCTTTATGATTTTTTTAAAAACTAAAATATGCTTTTCTTCACTGGATATAGGAAGTGTGAATAGAAGGAGAAAAATAAATATACATAACTAGACATGTACTCATTATGAATAGTACATCCTGTCAGAATATCTTAACATGTCATCTGATGAGCCATTCCTTCAACCCCCATTTTTCTTTAGCATTTTATTATTTATTTTATTTTTTAAAGTTTATTTACTTAGTGTGAGCAGTGGAGGGACAGAGAGAGAGAGAGAGAGACAGACAGAGAATCCCAAGCAGGCTCCATCCCACCAGCACAGAGCCTGATAAGAGGCTTGAACCCACAAACAGTGGGATCATGACCCGAGCTGAAATCAAGATTTGGACCTTTAACTGATCCACCTAGGTGTCCCTTCTTTTGCATTTTATAATCAGTGTCCCTTAGCCTTCTCAGCATACCCAAACAGCTTTTACTAAGAAATATGTTTTTGGCTTTAGCTGTTGATCAAGAAGAATAAAATGCTGGCACTATGTAACGTCATGAATGTTTTATATAAAGTCCTTCTACTTTCAGAGAAGACATTAAAGACTTTATATTTTACCTTTTTTTCTTTGAAGGATGTGGTATCTGGACTTAGTCCCCTGCTTTTCAGGAAGCTCAGTAATCCTGACCTGTTTTCATCCACTGGAAAAGCTAAACTTCAACGACAACTTAGTCAGGATGACTGTAAGTTGCGGAGAGGAAGCCTGGCCAGTTCTCTGTCAAGTGAGTATCTAATTTTTTAAAAAAGTTTTTATTTATTTTGAGAGAGAGAGCAAGTGAGCATGGAAGTGGGAAAGGGGCAGAGGCGGCAGCGGGGGGTGGGGAGTGGTGGGGAGGGGATACCAAGCAGGCTCTGCACCACCAGTGCAAAGCCCCACGTGGGTCTCAAACTCACAAACTGGGAGAGCATAACTTGAATCAGATGCTTAACTGACTGAGTCAGCCAGGCATCTCTCTAATTTTGTTTTTTAAGAAATATGGGACTGTGTTGTCAATATTAAAGAGCACATCAGTTGACATGGCATCTTGACAGCTTCTTCTCTGGTGGTAGTTTTGTATAGAACACTTCAGGGTAAGGCTATCTTCTGTCTTTACTAGTTCCTTATGACATCTCTGAATGGTAGCATCCTGAACGTGTTAGATATCTCCTAGTTGACCACTATCACTGGTTATTCTCTTTGAATTTGACTTTTACTTTCAGCTCACTTCTGTGGACTTCACATCCTTTGCTTCTTTTGATTTTCTTTGCTGTGCTGACTGCCAGCACAGAGCCTGGAGCCTGTTTCGGAGTCTGTCCCTCCCTCTCTCTCTGACCCTCCCCTGCTCACGCTGTCTCTCTCTCTCCTAGAAATAAATAAAAATATAAAAAAAAAAATTCAGGAGGAAGAAATGATACAAGGAGGTTATAGTTGAAATAGGAAACCATTAAAATGTGACATAGTTTTAAGCAATCAATAGAATGTTAAAAAAAAATCCATTTGACTTCAGCTAAAAATATTAGATTAGTAGAGAAGAAAATGTAATCATACCATACTCCTTGGCCTAATAGTAAACAGTTTTTAATTTCTTTTTATTTTTGTTCCTTTTCAGGGCTATTTTCTTGGCTTTATTTTTGTACTGTTTTATTGGAATTGTTATTTTGCCAGGCATGTATTTAATCACATAGAGCCATTTTTTGGGTTTCTTTTCATAGCAGAATGCTATGAATGTAAGGATGTGTTACCTTCTAAGTTTTGTATGAGTAAAGAGAATTGTGATTATTGTATCAAATTAAAAATTTTTTTTAAATATTTATTATTGAAAGACAGAGACAGAGCATGAGTTGTGGAGGGGCAGAGAGAGAGAGGGAGACAGAATCTGAAGCAGGCTCCAGGCTCTGAACGGTCAGCACAGAGCCTGATGTGGGGCTCGAACTCAGAAACCACGAGATCATGACCCGAGCTGAAGTGTGATGCTGATGAAGTAATCAGTTGGTTAAGACTGAGCCACCCAGGTGCCCCTCAATTTTTTTTTTTTTTAAAGTTTTGCTTCTGAATCAACTCTTTCTTTTGAGCACCTAACAACCAAAATCCATTGCTTTGCTCTGAGATGCCAAATCCCTTCTATCCTTTGAAGTAATTGGCTGCTGGGTGGTACAATATGGGAATGTGGTTGTGTGTGTCTATAGATTTTCAGTTAATCTGAGTTCAGCTTTATGTATTAACTATATATCCTCTTTGGTATCTTGTATTTCTGAATACTGAACTTATCTGAGATTTTGCAGGGTAGCCTGATAGCTCATTTAACTTTAGTTTTCTCTGTGCTTATTATATATCTTGTGTCTTTGCCCAGTTCCATTGGTTATGATTCAACTATCTGCTTTGGATTTTCCCCAAATTTTGTTCATTTCCTCAGTCAGTCCCCGTCCCTCATTATAGCTCTTGTTTGTTTGTATATTCTTTATTTTCATTTACTGTCCTGGGTCACAAAAGATAAAAGTATGTCCTTGGTCAGCCATCTTTAACTGGGTTATTTTACCATTAGCCTTTTAAATTGTTGTAAGAATAATTATAATTTTTAAGTTTTCTTTTTTTCTGAGTTCTTTCTTTACTAAAAGGCTAGTTTCTCCATTTTTTCATATTGTTCCTTCTTACGTTGTTTGTTTTCCTCAAATTCTTGGCAAACCTTGGGGTGCATCAAGCCCAGACTTGTGTATGTTGAAATGGGTTTCTTTTGCAGGTGTATAAGCCTCTTGCCCCAGCAAGTCCTTATTTTGAAGGGAGATAGGGTTATGATCTAGCCTTTGTATAGGTGGATAGGGTAAGTCAGTGACCTAGCTTTCCTTTAGAATATATAGATGAGGAGTAGGCAGATCATCTGGACAATGTGGCAACATTTGAAGAAGGAAGGAAGGCAGGCAGACAGTCTCTACTCTGGCCTTCTGGAGGTTTTGAGTAGAGAACTGTTCTTACTTTTTGTAGAGGGTTTTATGGAAAGGCTTTTTGGTAAAGTATACATTTGAGAACAGACTTGAAAGGTAACTAGATTCCTAAAAAACACTGCATGTTTCTGATTCAAAGAGTAAATATACCATAGAGTGCTTGGGTGGCTCCATTGGTCGAGTCTCCAATTCTTGATTTCAGCTCAGGCCATGCATGATCTCATGGTTTGTGGGAGTGAGCCCTGTGTTGGGTCTGTACTGAGCATGGAGCCTGCTTGAGATTCTCTTTCCCTCTGCCGTTTCCCAGCTCACACAATCTCTCTCTCTCAAAATAAAATAAATCTTAAAAAAAAGTAGATATGCCAGTAATAAAAAAATTGAGTTCAAAAACATGCATTATTGTCAAAGTGAAAAGTTCTTCTTAATCTTCTGTTTCCCTCTCTCCAACCATTTTATATATGCTCAAAATTATATTTAAATATACATTTAAAAATTTATGTAAATATACATAAACTTTTATATTTTAAAAATCAAAATTGGAATCATATGTCACATACTTCCCCTCTGCTTTTTTTACTCAACAGAAAATTTTGAACATTTTTCTCTTGACTGCATGTTGAGGTGCAAGTCAAGTCATTATTATTAAAAAAATTTTTTTATGTTTATTTTTTAAAGACAGAGTGCAAGTCGGGAAGGGGTAGAGTGAGAGGGAGACACAGAATGTAAAGCAAGTTCCAGGCTCTGAGCTGTCAGCACAGAGCCTGACATGGGGCTTGAACTCCTGAACCCCAAGTTCATGACCTGAGCTGAAGTCAGATGCTAAACCAACTGAGCTACTCAGGTACCCCAAGGTGCCTCATTATTTTTAATGGGTTAGTGTTTCATTATGTGGAGATATTATAGTTTCTTTAAATTGTAATGAATATTTATCTTATTTCCAGTTTTATTCTGGTGAGAATTTCTAAAGTGAGCATTCTGGATTATTATTTTTTTCATTATACTGTATTACTGCAGGTGGAATGCTGGTTTCAAATATTTGAATTAAAATTTTAATAAGTTTTGCTAAATTGTCCCCCAAATAATTTGCATCATATTTTATTGCAATAAAAGGATATGTTGTAGCAAAAACAAAACTAAAAACCCCTTTTGCTTACACCTTTACTACAGTGTGCGTTTCCATGTTGAATAGGATTTTGCCAGGAAAAGGAAGAGTTTCCAAGTAAATTGGGGTATCAGGATAAAGCCAGGTGAAAATGCAGGGCATAATTGAAATTGAGTGAGCAATGGGTGTGGAAAAGAGTTGAAGGAGATGAGGCCAGGAAGGTAATCTATATTTATGGAGGATTTCTTTAGTTTTTTTTTTATTTTATTTTTTAAGTAGACTTCATGACCATTATGGACCCCAGTGTGGGGCCTGAACTTACATGACCCTGAGTTCAAGACCAGAGCTGAGACAGACACTTTAACCACCTGAGCCATCCAGATGCCCCAAGGATTTCTTTAGTTTTTTAAAAGTTTGGCTAATTATTTTAAACAGTAGGGAATCATCAGAAATTTTTTAAGGCAGGGGATGATATCACATTTATTTGGTTAAATCACTAGTAGCAATGTAAAGAACATTATGAAGGAAGAGGTTGAAATGGGACTTGCACTTCAATTAGAAAGTCATTGTAATTCTAGATACTCATGCTTTGTAAATGACTTTCTTGTAGTCTTTCATTGGGATTAAGGCAGTCATCCTGGACTGAACACATAGAGTCTGGCCAGAGGATTATAGATTCAGTGTTTGTCTTCTAGAAACAGAGGGTCCACACTTGCCTAGGAGAAGCTGTCTGCTCCACTCATGTTGCACTGAGTTGGTGCGAAACTAAGTTGCATGGAGGAGACTGGAAGACTCCTAGCCTGCTAGGCTGGATGTCGGGCTTTGGGTGGCATGGTGGTGGGTATTACAGAAAATTTTATTGTATTTTTTTAAATGTTTGTTTATTTTGAGAGAGTGAAAGCATTTGCGTGAGAGAGGCAGAGTGAGAATCTCAAGTAGGCTCTGCATTGTCAGCACAGAGCCTGATGTGGGGCTTGAACCCACAAACTGTGAGACATGACTTAAACTGAAGTTGGACACTTAACTGACTGAGCCACCCAGGCTCAGGCTGGATTTTTTTTTTTTTTT